CACACACACCCTCTGCAGCATTGTCGGAAGTATTGTTGGATTTTGGAGACCATTCATACTGATGCCCTACAAAGGTCCTGAACCGTAGACATTGTGATATCGTATTACGTGATGTATTATGTGAAGTCTGTAATGCAACATGGGGACTGTGTAGCAGTTTTCTTTAAAAAGAATGAGGGCCAAAATAGTTTGTTTCATTTTTTTCTTCCCACTGCAGTCAGGAGGAAAAATCCGTAGGCCTCAGCCTTAAAGAACAGGGCGTGGATATAGCGGCGAAATGAAAGAGATGTAGACGAGTGTTTGAATGAGTTGAAAGTGGGCAGTTGTCTTTGGAAGCCGAGTACGCCGCAGATTAAAAATATGCCTAAAAGTGTACAATTAAAAAGTGTACTGTCACATTTGGGGCACTTGTGTGAAAGCATGAGGACTCTAGGGTCTGGCTGCATCAAAAAGCAAAACTTAACCCTGTGAAAGTCAGGTGATTTCGAATTTTTCCATTAAGAGTATGAATCAGAATGAATGCATCTTGGGTTTAAATTGGGATTTGAAAGGGTTATTTGGAAAACGATGTTTGTTTAAACCAAGTGACTAGAGTGTTTGATATATATTGGCAGGGGGCAGATGGGAGGGATTGTAAACAGTAGCGTGTCTTGTGACTTGGCAAAGGAAGGACCTAGTGATGAATGAGTTCGCATTATGTGAAAAGACTAACATTTAAAAACATTATTTGTTTCTTTACCACATTAGCTGGCATAATAGGTTCATAATTCTGAGAGGAGTGTATATTAAGGGGAAATTTTCAGAAAAAAATTGTCAAGAAAGATTTTTAAATGATTATTTTGTTAGGAAGTGACAGTTTTACTTAAGTATTAGGATAGAACAACAAGCAATGATGTACTTCTTATTCCTTTTCTATTTTTCCAAAAAGATGAGAAATACTTAAAAGATTGGTTTGGGTCATTGAGGGAGCACATAGTAATGTGCTAGATATTAGCAGGGACTTGTCAATTTGGTATAAGGAAATATGTGAATTTTTTTGGTAACATGAACTTTTCAAATTGTTTCTTTTCAAAAATCCTTTTCAGGCTAGGTGCAACACATGAAAGACGGCATTTCAATATATAGTGAATTCTAACAGGTGTTATTAAAGGACAGTTGGACTCCTTAATTGTATGAATTGCCACCTTTGGAAGTGTAAAGAGGAATTAACATTAGTAAAAAGTTACATTAGTAGTAAAAAGCAGATGTTAATGTTTTTTGAAATCCATGGATTGGAGCAATAAATTGTGGCATTAGGTAGTATCTTATAGTGGAAAATTTAAAATGTGGACAAAATTACATCTCTAGAAACCAGATTTATAACTGGTATTGGGTCAGTTTCCTAATAGTTGGAATCACATTACACAAAGTATGCAAGTTGCTTGGTTGCTTTAGTTACAGAATTTTATGATAAGCCCAGAGTATTTGTACAGGTTACATATTAGAAACTTAGTGGATTTTTAACCTGGCCTGGGGTGTGGACTCTTGGGGAAGGTGAAGAAATTGTCAATGTGGATAATTTAAAAAGTAGTTGTCTTGTACACAAGTGAGTGTGGTCTAATTCAGCAGGTTTTGAAAAGGTGTTTATCATGGGCCTAGAGCAGCTATTTTCAACCTGGGCCACAAGAATTTTGAAAACATGCAATACCTGACTATTTAGTTGTGGCACTGACCTCTTTTTCCATAGATTGTCAAATAAAAATGACAACAACCACCACAAAAATAGTTGTCCAGTTGAATGAATCAAAAGTATTCTTTTTTTTTTGGTCAGATTATAAAAAAAAATTTTTTTTTTGGTGTGCCGCAGAATTTTAGTAATTAGTTTATGTGTGCCACGAGATGAAAAAGATTGAAAATCACTGACCTGGAGAAATGGAACATTCCCTTTCTCGTCCCTTTAGGATATTTGAGAGCAATGGATTTTTGTAACTATTTCAAATTCTGATTTTCTTGCTTTGTGGGATAATTAAGAAATAGGTTACAAGTTCATGTGAGTGGCTACAATTCTTTGTTATAATTGTATTTATGCAATAATTGTTTTTTTTCTTATGGAAATGTTTCACCTGTGCCAGGGAAATTACCATCATCCTTCAAGGCCAGAAGTCAGGATACACTAGACAATCCCTGGCCTGCGCCAACAAAATATTCATGTTTGTGATGACTAAATTGGCACTTACAGGAGAGTTACAGATATAGTAGTTTGTTTGGAACACTGAAAGTTGGCACATAAATGGATGTTGTTGTCATCCCTGTGTTATGGAATTTTCTGCCCCAATTTAGAATTTGCAGTAATTTTGGTTATTTTTTATTACTTAAAAAATGATAAAATTAATAATTTGTCCAGCATTGTGCTAGAACACTAAATGGTCTTAAGAAATTAAATTTGAGAGATTGATGATAAGGAATTGAATTTGTTCAGATTTTCTATTCTGTTTTTTGAAATGTATCTATGAAGAAACACCTAAGAAATTTTTATATGTGAAGCTTTATCTAATATCATCTGGCAATGAATTCTGCAGTGAATTTTTTAGATAAATGAAGTGTACCCATTGAGGCATTTAGAATTTTAAAAATATTTACTGATTAGATGAAAATATTTCTAATATGTATTATTTTTTAAAAATTCTATACTTCCTCAGAATCTAGGTTTGTTTCTTTTCTTTTTTAAAATACTGGACATCATTCTGAACATCTGTCATTGATACTTATAGCCATAGATTACTCAAAACTATGTGCTATGATACTGTATATTAGTTTCATATCTGTTCTTTAAAGGTTTTTTGTTTGTTTTCTTACTCTGAGGCTATTATTTTTTGCTGCTTATTGTGCCTTGTTGCTGCCTGTTGTGAAATTTCTTGCCTCTTTTATTTTACTGAACTTGATCTGAAGCGGTCTAAGTAACCAGAGAAACAGGCTTGTTTGAATTTATGAAGACATTTCTAAGTGAGGGTTTGATGGATTCTCCTTTGAGTGAAAGGTATGAGCTGTGTTGTATGGACTTTGTATTAACTATTCTGGCTTTCCATAGAGACTTTTTTTTTTTAACTTCCTGGTTCTGGATAATTGATACTGCCAATACAACCTGGATAAATGTGGTTTTAAGTAGTAAATTGAAACTTAAGAAACTTCTCTGAACTTTGCTACATAGTAAATGAGCCTGCGCTTATTGTAAAATTAAGTCTTATTCTAATCTGTATGTGAGTCAGTGGCAAAGTACTGAGTCTTCTAATAGCTGTTTTGTTGTTAACTGAGATTAGTTCTCTAGATCTTGGAGATTTCATGTTGAACACCATACATGCATATAGTTCTCAATTTATTTGGCCACTTTGTAATCACTTTAAATTTTT